CATTCCTCAGTTGATAAACATTTGGGTTGTTTCCAAGATTTAACTACTATGAATTGCACTGCTATAAACATGGGTGCACATATATCAAGGTGTAGAATTGCCTTTTTATCTTCATTAAAACCAAATACTTTGAGGATGCTTTCTCTTATATTATAACGGAAACTGCCATTGAACTGCTAGGCCTAGAAAAACAGTAGACCACATTTTTTTGAAACCATATTTTCCACAATTTCAGGTATGGCTATATACTTTAAATTACAGCTAATAGAATGTGCGTTGAACAGATGTACATCATTGCTAGACCTGGCCTATCAAAACATCCAATATGTGACTCACCCTCCCCCTGTTTTCCCCAGCCAGCTAGATGCCTATGCTTTAAAACGTTCCAATCTTCATGTTACTGATGAATGAGATTGTAAAAGCCTCCTTCTTAAAGAATTGTAGGGAAACGCCCTTAATCACCAACAAACAAATCTCTATAAACCATTTATGCAAGCAAAAAGAAATTTCAGCTGTTTAAATTATTTTGAATGACTACAGTTGTCAAGTATTACAACAAAAACCTAAGATATGTGGTATTTATAAATTAGTTAGGTAACTGATAAAAACTGGAAACAAAAATGTACGCAACACAGTGGAAAAATATTTGGTGAGACAGTTGCTTGACTTTTTTTGTTGTTGTTGTTTGTTTGTTTTTCTCCGGTACCGGGAACCAAATTCACGACCTTGCGCTTGCCAGGCAGGCGCTTTTGCCGCTGAGCTAAATCCCCAGCCCCTCAGTTGCTTGATTTAGAAGACAGACTAAGGATCTACTGAGAAAATAGCTCAAGAGAATTAGATAAGCAGAACCAATACTATGTGCTGAATAACATTTTTCTAGTTTCCAGAAAGGTATTATAGAATGCACATAAGCTTGAGTTGGAACTAGCTGTTTTGAGAGCAGATGTTAGGTAAAGAAGATACAATAAATGGGGAAAATTTAAGTGCTTCCAAACCCTAACCAATGAGAATAAAATTGATATGTAGGATAATTTAAGACAAAAGACTAATTTTGACTTTTGGTTAAAGAGATGAAGTCCTAGGTACAGGTCATAATATGAGCATGTCCTTCCTAAGTAAGGTTTTTGTTTTAAGTCAGCATAAACTATCCACCATTAAGTTATGGCATTTTCATACATGTGTGCTCTACATAATGATCAAATCGGGGTAATTAGTATATCCATTATCTTTAACTTTTACCATGTATTTGCAGTAAGAATAACTGTCTTTTCTAGTTATTTTGAAAGATACATTATTGTTGACTACAGTCAGCTATTGTGCAATAGAACACCAGAACTTACTCCTTCAATCTAAGTGGATTGCATTTTGCAAGTTTTGTTGAACCTGGAAAGGGTCCAGATCTAAGCTGTAATGTTAGCATGCTAAAGAATTTTGTCTCATTGGGTGACTAATGAGCGCTCAGTGGGAGATGGTATTTTGGAATCCAGTTCATTTTGTGCAGTTATTTGTTTACCAATAGCAATGAATTATTGAGCTATCACAAGTTTATTTACAGAGCTAATCTATTCTACTCTGTGTTGACTGGAAGTTGAGCAGCTGTACCATTACTGAATAAATTGTTAGTGACCATGCATGCTTCAGTGAAACTCTGTGACATTTTCCCCACAGCAAGAGCAAAGTGTAAAGCAGGAGAAACTTTGTATGGTTGTGGAGCATTAAAAATGTTCAGTCTTCAAATTTAATGCCATTAATTACGAGTACAAGAGAAGCCCACAGAGCTACCATGCAGGAGGTGTTACCCTCAGTACTTTATACATAGGATTGTGAGCCAAAGTCAGTTTTACCCAACACAGGGAGAATTTGGTCTGGAGAGGATGGTGTATTCTTTTCTACCACTTTGTTAATACCACTTTCAACAGGATTAAGGCAATGTGAGCCCTTCTGGCAGCTGAGCATGTGATATAGCGAATTGATGCATTTTTTCTGCATCTGCAAGAAAAAAGAACTAGGTTGTTCTCAGGATGTGAACTTTAAATTTAAATTTTGTCTTCGAAATACCGATAATTTGGCAGAAATTGAACCAGACTTGTATTCATTCATTCCAGGTGTAGGTTTTTAGAGGATCAGCCACTGCATCCTCCTTAATTTCTTGATTTCTATGAGAGCAATGAATGAGTGAGATGCAGCCTTTGCTTTTCTACGCCTTGCTTATTTCACTTAATATGTTTCTCAGGATCATGCCTATTTATACAAATGACAGAATTTTCTTCTTTTCAAAGAATGTGTGGTAGCTTTTTTTTCTGTACTGGGGACTGAACCCACTCTCCAATAGAGCTGTACCACCAATGATTTTTATTTTATTTTGAAACAAGATCTCGCTAAGTTGCCCAAGCTGGCTGCAATTTTGTAATCCTCCTGCCTCATTCACCTGAGTATCTGGCATTACCAATGTATGACCCTGCACTCTGGACATTATAAATCATTATAAATCTGAAATTATAAATATAAGATTATGTCACAGTATTCCTCAATATTGTCACAGTCTTCTTTAGATTATGTTATACTACTTCATATAACATGCATGAACTTTACAATTGCATACAACCATTTTTCAGCTGACTTTATATTATTGTTTTCTATATTTTATTTCACATTATTAACTCCACAACACAGTGTTACATTTTTTATACACTCAATTACTTTCTAAAGCAATTAAAAATACAGTAATATCTTTTTATCCATTCTCATTTCTAATAATCTTCACTTCTTTGTGAAGAGCCACATTTCTCTCTGTTGTCATGTTTTTCCTACTTGAAGCACTTCCCATAAAATTTCTTCTAGCATAGAATTATTGTCAACATATTTTCCCAGCTTTTCTTTGCTTTAAAATTCTTTATTTTATCTTAGTTTTTGAAAAATTTTTCCACTGGCCATAGAATTATGGGTCAATTGCTACCACCCACCCCAAAAATGACTTTAAAGCTGTCAATTCATTGTCTCCTAGTTTGTATAATTTCTTTTGAGAAATCTACTTAAATTCTCATATTAGTTCTTATGCATTTGGACCCACTTCTCCTTCGTCTAAATGATTTTTACATACTGCTCTATTTTGCTTTTCATTATTTTGACTATTATATATCTGTGTGTGTGTGTGTGTGTGTGTGTGTGTGTGTGTGTGTTATTTATTCCACTACCATGCTTTGGATTCTCTGGACTTTTTGAGTCTACCATTTTTTTTTAATTATGATTAGAAATTTGTCCAACCAGATCATTTCCAACATTTCCTTCCATCCTTTCTGCATCTGGAGCTCACATTGCACATATTTTTGAGTGTTCAATATTGTCTCATTATTCTAAAGTTGTCTTCTCCCCTCCCCTACTCCTTTTTGTCCTTGCATTTAATTTAGAATATTTATACTGAAATTCTCCATCTTACCTTTCACTGATTCTTTCCTAAACTCTGTCCTGTGGGATTATGACTCCACTACAGAAATTTCTTTGTTTGCTGTGTATTTTAGTTCTAGCATCCTATTATTACTGTGTATTTTAGTTCTAGCATCCTATTATTTTCTAAAAATAGTATTTGTCTTTCTGCTGAAGTTCCAAAACTGTTCATACATTTTACTTACCTTTTTCACTGGATTAATTAAGATAATGATCAAAAATATTCATAGTCCCTGTCTGATAATTCTAATGTCTTTGTGATATCTGAGTGTCATTATATTTAGATGTGTTGTTAATGAGTTGTTTTTTCTTCCTTTTTTGTCTTGTACTTTTTATTACATGCTAGACAACATGTGTAGACAAATAGAGGAGACTTATCTAAACAATGATCTATCAGAAATGCACATATATTTTCTTCTCAAAAACTGATATTTGGTGGATGAAGCCCATCTAATAAGGAGTTGAGCTTAATTGAGGTTTTCATGTTGCTATCAATAATTCCAATGCACTAAAATGTTCAAAATCCTGTAGCAGTAAGTTGGCAGTATCTTGTGTTTAGAGTGATGGCTCAGTCTATCTAAATTTCACTGTTGTCTAAATTTCACAGTGTGGGGGAATGCAGTGGCCATTATAATGATACTGGTCTTTAAAATACTACCAGAGTCAGAGGCATGTTCCTGGGATTAGGTTTTGATTAAGAGCCCAGCATATAAGACAAAATGAACTAAAATTTATTGGCTTGGGAACACCTTCACAAGATATGGGATTTAGCTTCTTATCAAGGACCTCATTTCTCTTGGTATGGCCTTTAGAGCCCGGAAAAATGCAATGTCCCACATTTGATATGGAAACGCCTGCATTTCCTGAAAGATGATGAAGGAATGCATAAGGAGGCTAAGGAGAGTGGGCGTGAAGGGATGTATACATACTGTAACAGAATAAGACCCACTAAATGATCATTTCTGACACAATGCAATTGCAATTTTTGGAATTACTGGTGAGACTAAGAGTTCCTCAATGAAAGACAGACTTAATTATTCAGCAGACAATCATATTTGTGACAAGCAACATAGTTTTTAAACAATCTGATTTCTAAAGCTTTCCCCAATAAGGACTCTTAAGACTGCCTTTTAGGTATCTTCTGCAGACATGATTTTCTATTGTACAGTCATAAGCAACATAGTTTTTAGACAGTAGTCTTTGTTATAGAGTCAAATAACATTACTTTCCTGCTTTTGTCTTTTATAAAAGACATCTTCGGGGCTGAGGATTTAGCTCAGCGGCAAAAGTGCCTGCCTGGCATGCGCAAGGTCGTGAGTTCGGTTCCCGGTACCGGAGGAAAAAAAAAAAAAAAAGACATCTCCAAGAAAATGATATGTGAATTGGACTTGAACTCTGCCAAAGTTCTGTTTTTCATTGTTAGCACTTGCTCTTTGAATACATTTCTCTTGCCAACAAATTAGAAAAGAAAATTTTGTGACATGCTTATATTCAGTTTACTTGAGAAATGATCTTAACAAAATAATAGAAACTTTTCAAAATTTATTTTGAGGCCATTAAAATGAATATAGATGCAATATTTTTCTAGACATGTCCTTCATGGCTTGTTTTACCTGTTTGTTCCTTAGAGAATAAATGAACGGGTTCAGTAAAGGGGCAACAGAAGTATTGAGCACAGCGACCCCCTTATTGAAAACAACTCCTTCTTTTGCTGATGGCTTTAGGTACATGAAGATGCAGCTTCCATAAGAGAGGGAGATGACCATCAGGTGCGAAGAACATGTGGAAAAGGCCTTTTTCCTTTGCTGAGAAGAAGGGATCTTCAGAATGGTCCTGATGATGCTTGTGTAGGAAACTACCACCAGCACCAGTGTGACCACCAAGGTCATAATTGCCAAGATAAAATCAACCAGTTCCAGTGCACTTGTGTCTGAGCAAGATATTTCTATAAGGGGCCCGTAGTCACAACAATAATGATTCAGCACATTGGAGGCACAGAAGTCTAGCTGACTGGTCAGTGTAATTGGGGATAAGATGATCAGGAATCCACACAGCCAGGAGCACAGAACCAGCTGCGTGCACACCCTGTTGTTCATGATGGTGGTGTAATGCAGGGGTTTGCAGATAGCCACGTAGCGGTCATAGGACATGGCAGTCAGAAGGTAAAACTCCGTGGCCCCAAAGAAGATGGCAAAGAAATACTGAGTGAAGCACCCAGCAAAGCTGATAGTCTTATTCCCAGTTAAGATGCTGAACAGCAGCCTAGGGGTAAAAGTGGTTGTAAAGGAAATTTCCAAGAAGGAGAAATTGCGGAGGAAGTAATACATGGGAGTCTGGAGATGGGGATCCAGCAGTGTGAGGGTGATGATTGTCAGATTACCTAAAATACTGAACATGTACGCAAGGAAGAGAAAAATGAAAATGACTATTTGAAGCTCTGGGATATCTGTGAGTCCCAGCAGGATGAACTCTGTCAAAGTTCTGTTTTTCATTGTTAGCGTTTGCTCTGTCAAACCAAGAAAGAGAGAGATGAGGATGTGAACTGTGGTGGAGCTAGTGAACGCTGAACAGAGGTTTCAGATTTCTCTTGTTTGCTCATGGGAGAGTCATGCAGTATGAGCCACATAGAAAGTCCATTCTTCTTTTTAAAAAGAATTAAGTTCACTTGTACTTTTTAGCTATAGATAATGATCATGTTCATCCTGAGGAATTTGTACCTGCACAGATATAACTTGATTCTGTTTTCTTTCCCATTCTCCTCCCCTCCCTTCAACCTCTTCTTATTTACAAAAGCTTTGTTTTCATTTTTCTTTATTTTCTCTTATTTTTCTTTTCCCTTCCTTCCTTTTCTTCTCCTTCTCCCCACCTCTTCCCTTTTAAACATTTTGGTTCTTCCAAAAATCTATTCTTCAGTTCTGCCCTAGGAACCCTCATTTCTGGGGCTCTCTTCTCAGAACACAGTGGTCCCTTATCTCCTCTGATTTCATCTTCTGAGATTCAGTTTTTATGCTCCACTCTTACTGTGTTTTGATTATTCTCATACTTATGAAGCCTCTCTCCTATAACTGTGGCAGGAACATCTTTTTCTCTATCCTTCATGTCTTAGCATTTTGCTTCAATCCAGCCCCGTACAACACTCTGGACTCCTGCTTCATATCTTTGCTCTCTCTGGTAATAATCCCCAACCTGCAACTTCAGGAGTGAGTTGCTTCTTTAATGTTTTTGCTCTTGTGCCTGCAGGAAAGACAAAGAAAACTTCAAAACAAATTCTGTGTGAATCCTTTCCTCCTGTTTTATCTAATGAGAGAGTGATAACAATTCTAGAAAGGATTTCTTTAACAGCTTTAAAATTGTAGATAGAAATGTTTTGGGGGTCTAGATAATTTTTTATGTTCCCTCAGTGTACAGGACACAGACTGTTACTGGGAATTATGGAAGGGTCAACTTTACAGACTACTAAAGTTCCTCCCAGAAAAGAATTAGATAAAGCTTGGACCAAAGCTTTATCCAAGGATCTAACCAAGTGGTCAGATGAAGACGAACAAGTGGAAGAAAATGTAATATATTTTCTTTTCTAATACTAACTCATGTTCTGATTGCTTGCAATGCATACAGCCACGATTCTTGAGCACTGGTTTGAAAAGAAACATTTTCTAGCTCCCTTTGCCTTTAACCAGTTGCAGGCTACTACTCTTGCTTCATTAGTCCAAATTAGAACAGTTCCTATAAGTCCTAAAGATTCTCTCTTATTTAAACTAGAGTCAAGGACCTTTCAAGCATTTTTATTGCAGTTTAATTTTCCAGTACCTTTTAAACTAAGGATCTTCAAGGTCCCTTCTGAGCTCGGTGCTTACCTGGAACAAATTCCCATGGAGGTCCACTCTTGTCCTTATATCATCATAGTCACTGGGTAGAAGGTCCAAGACAATGCCACCCCCCACTGGGAGGCTCAGGTTTCTGAAGCACTTTCTATTCACTGGCCTTTAAATTTTGAAGAATTTGTCTGTTTTATCATTAAAAATTTCACATTTATATTTTATAAAAATACTAACAAAAGTGTACATAGATAATTTTTCAAAGATGTTCCTTTCATCATTGCTTATGATACATAATTGTAAACAATAAAAATCCCACCAATATGTAAAAAGGCTAAATGGTATATGATCACTTCTTTTTTGGAAGAAAATGTGAAATTTATATGTACCAACTTGAATACAGTTATTTATATTGTTAATGAAATAGGTTGCAGTGATTACATATAGTGTGATTTTTTTGTGTGCAGAAACAAGTATCTGGAAAAATGCATAATGTTAGGGATAATTATTTCCAGAACGGTGCTGTTCAAAGGATAGAAGAGTTTGATTTTATGCTTATCTTGATCATTACAGATTTATAAACAAATCTGAGTGACCTTTTAATAATTACAAAACCCAGAAAAATAGTAGACATTCACATTCAGATGGATCTTATACTCCACCATCATGGAAGGTTAGTATTGATAAAATATGAACACATTTTGGGTTGGGGAGTTAAATGGGATTTAATCCAGGGTTTTGCACATGCTAGGCAAGTATTCTATCACTGATACACCCCCAGCCCTTTAATTTTATTTTGGAATAAGATCTAAGTTGTCCAAGCTGACCTCAAATGTATATCCTCTTGCCTCAGCTTCCAAGGAACTAGGATTACAAGCATACACCACCAAATACCCACTTTTTGATACAGGAAAGATGAGGAGGGATTTTACCTCTGCATGATATGTGGAGTAAGCCAGAACTGAGAAGTCAGATGCAGATGAAAAAGTGGAAGAAAATGTAACATATTTTCTTTTCTAATGCTAATTCATGCTCTGATTTCTTACAATGCATACAACCATTGTTCTCGAGCACTTGCTTGAAAAGAAATAGTTTCTAGCTCTCTTTGCCTTTAACCAGTTGCTGGCTACTACCCTTTCTTCATTAGTCCAAATTAGAACTGCTCCTATAATTCCTAAAAATTCTCAGCTATTTAAACTAATCAACCAGTAGAAGACATTCTACTCCTTTTAAAAATCTAACTTCCTCAGTGTTATGGGAAGTTTGGTCATGAACTTTATTGCAATTTTATTACCCGATTCAGTGAGGCACATTTTAGTTCAGATAATCAACAGAGACGTTGGGAGATAAATGATAGCCCTGGGAACCAGGTCCAGAATATGTTAATTAGCTTGCTTCAAAACAAAATACTGAGAATTAACTTCTAACAGGGGACTAGAAAAATGTTCCAAATAGACCCATGAGGAAGCTGTCACAGATTAGCTGGAATAGGCTAAAATCCTTGTGGATAATGAAGCAATGAGCATAACCACAATAATTTTCTTAAAAAGTAACATTAGTTGCTTGAACAGTTTATATAAGCTGTATAGAATTTTAACAATTTCCATCATGTTTACCATTATATTCTTATAATATTTGAGGCAATTGTTATTACAAGGCTCTCAGCTCACCTGGCCTATTAGGTGTGTGACCCTGAGCAAAATACTTGGCTTCTTCATGCCTCAGATGCCTCATCTACAAAGGCGGAGATTGGAATCATACCTATTTCATAAGTTTGTCATGTGTACTAAATATGCTTACATGTGGAATATTTAGAAAAGTGGTTAAGATGAGCCTATTATTCTGATAAAATGCTTAGACAACTTTCTTAAAGACATTGATAAATCTAAAGTGTGTTTATAAGCATTACTAGGACACACAGGACTGCCAGTCAGATGACCATCCTACTAATTTCAGCCAGATAATATTTTCTTATCCTATCAATGTTACTTACCCATATTTTTTCCCAGAAAAGTCTATCTGCAAAGGAATTACTTTACCTGTCTCTTTTTTTTACCTTATTAGATACTTAAACAGAGAACATAAAAAAATCTGTATTAACTCCTTCAAAAATAACTATAACAATATTTTTAGCACAAATAATAGATTTTTATTTCGCATAACTATGTTCAGATAGACTAGAATAAGGAAGGCATTCTTTTACACTTTTTTCAAGTTGTTTGAAAATCCATCTAATATATATATATATATATATATATATACTACAGTGAAATATTTTAACTGTGTTTGGAAAGTTTTTCCCTTCATTTGCAAGTTTGAAATGAATGTTGGTACTTTTTCATGATAAATTAGCCAAGATCTGCCTTAACAAGGACAGAAGGAGAAAAGCTTTCATGAATATTTCTCAGGATTTCCATTGAGTTTAAAATCATTGTACGCATTAAAAACTCACAGTCTTTCTCATCACATACTTGAAGGCTTGTTTTACCTGTTTGTTCCTTAGAGAATAAATGAACGGGTTCAGTAAAGGGGCAACAGAAGTATTGAGCACAGCGACCCCCTTATTGAAAACAACTCCTTCTTTTGCTGATGGCTTTATGTACATGAAGATGCAGCTTCCATAAGAGAGGGAGATGACCATCAGGTGCGAAGAACATGTGGAAAAGGCCTTTTTCCTTTGCTGAGAAGAAGGGATCTTCAGAATGGTCCTGATAATGCTTGTGTAGGAAACTACCACCAGCACCAGTGTGACCACCAAGGTCATAATTGCCAAGATAAAATCAATCAGTTCCAGTGCACTTGTGTCTGAGCAAGATATCTCTAAAAGGGGTCCGTAGTCACAATAATAATGATTCAGCACATTGGAGGCACAGAAGTCTAGCTGACTGGTCAGTGTAATTGGGAATAAGATGATCAGGAATCCACACAGCCAGGAGCACAGAACCAGCTGCGTGCACACCCTGTTGTTCATGATGGTGGTGTAATGCAGGGGTTTGCAGATGGCCACGTAGCGGTCATAGGACATGGCAGTCAGAAGGTAAAACTCCGTGGCCCCAAAGAAGATGGCAAAGAAATACTGAGTGAAGCACCCAGCAAAGCTGATAGTCTTATTCCCAGTTAAGATGCTGAACAGCAGCCTAGGGGTAAAAGTGGATGTAAAGGAAATTTCCAAGAAGGAGAAATTGTGGAGGAAGTAATACATGGGAGTCTGGAGATGGGAATCCAGCAGTGTGAGGGTGATGATTGTCAGATTTCCAATGATGCTGAATATATAAGTGAGGAAAAGAAATATAAAAATTAAAACTTGAATCTCCAGGACATCTGTCAGTCCTAGTAAAATGAATTCTGTCAAAGTTCGGTTTTTCATTTCTAACCTTTGTTGCCTGTGAATAGACAAAAAAAGTTAAGTCACTGACGGAAACAGAGCACTCAAGTCCATTTAGGAGGGGATACATTTTCATGTTGAAACGATTCAAGTGTCTTTCCACTATTAGTGTGAGTCAATCAAGATTCCCTGGTGGAGAGGGACTGGAATTTTACAAGAATTATTGTCTTAAATGCTCACGAGGAGGGTATTTTCTCTACAACTCCTTTTCAGGATTTTCATATACTTTTGTAGCCTACCTTGCAAACCACTATGTAATTAGTTTCTATATTTTCTGCTTTTATTTTCCCTT